AAAAGAAAGAAAAAAAAGACGAATCGCTCGCCTCGCGACGACGACGACTCATCTTCGCGCCGCGGAGAGTTCATTCCTCGTCGCGCGCAAAGGTGGGACGACTACGACGCAAACGCAAACGCTTCCTTTTGTACCTCGTAAAAAAGTCTTTACCGCACTCGGGGCGAGCTAGCTGCGCGTATACCTACCTATATACATGCGGTATATACTTGTACTACTACTATATATACGCGCGATGCCCGTAGAGAGAGAGAGAGAGAGAGAGAGAGAGAGAGAGAGAGAAAAAAGTCAGGCGCGCGCAATGTTTCTAGACACACTCGAGTAAACTTTTTATTGTCATTTCTTTGTCAGGAGAAACTTTTTCTCCTTGGGTCTTTTTTCTCTCGCCCTTTTCTGTATCCCTTCTCCTCTTATACCGCTTCTGCTGGTGCGCCAAGCCCCGCGAACACTTTGAACGTCCTCTCGTTGAGCGTAAGCGCAATATCGTAAAAGTACATGTCCGCAGTGACAACTTTTAATGCAGTTCAATCGTAACGCGTCGCTATATAGCCCGCGCTATTATTATTTCTTTTTTTTATGCTTTACTCCTCTCTTAGAGGGTAATAAATATTCTTTTATCTCGAAAAATTATTGTTATTTCTCTACTTCCTCGACGTGGCGCAGCTTTCGTAAGAGAGAGACAGAGACGCGCATACAATTAAAATGTACGAGCAAATCTTTTCGCGCTCGTAAATCTCGCATCAAAACGGCGCGCATCTGGAGATAGTTAGAAAAAGTCGATAAACAGCTGTACAAGTTAACAAGCTTCCATCGCGCAATGTTTTAATATTTATTGAATCTATTTTTTGGTCGTTTTCAATGAGTACATTTCTATCAATACTATCGTTATCATCAATTTTAATGAACTATGAATGAAAACCATTCAAAATCATTCAAATAAAAGAGAGAAACATATTTTTTTTCTAACAATGAAAATACATTCACTCTAATTTTTATCATAGAGCTAAAGGACTGTGTAGCACTGCGGAATATCAAATAAACATTTCAAATAAATGACAGTTTTTTTCGCCCATAGTTCCGTGGCCTAGCAATATGGAAAAGTCCAATTTCAATCACGCTTTGTCGGATAACCGCAAATAACAGGACACGGAACATATTTCTGTATATCAAAATTCAACCGTCGACTCGACTCGATCGTTCAACGAGATGCTCGCGAGCTATAGATTATTCGATAAAAACTTTTTAAATGAAAACTTCCACTGCGTTCGTATTACTTTTTTTTTTCATCGTTCCGTTATAATTTACTTTCTCCATTTGTAAAATCTAGATCCGCATTGTAAGCGACACTGTAATTACTTTAAACTATATAGCTATAGTCGTTCTACATAAGAAACAAATATATAACTATTTATATACATATAATAGTCGCAACAAAATGAAACTGAGTTACCTCAAGTACAACAATGACATACTTAATGGCGTTGACACTTGGAGGGGGGTAAAATTTTGGGTACGTCAAAAAATGTTTATTGTTGAGCATAAAACGAAGCTTTTGAATTATGTAAATATTCGCCTGCGCGCGGCTCGACACAAAGAAAACTCCTTATATTATCATTTCCATTGAAACTTTAGCCCGAAAAGTTGCATTAAGTACACCCGTTAAAACTTACACCGCCGAATGTAACGCGTAAAAAGTTTCGAATAATTCAAAAAGCTCCAGCTCCGACGACGGTAGATTTACCGAAAAAGGACCATTGTACGAGTAACGAGCGAGAGAGAGAGAGAAAGAGAGAGAGCAATAAATTTTATACGAAGCTCAACTTGGCAAGATAAATAATAAATGGCGAGTCTCGAGGTTAAGTAGCAGCAGCAGTTCAAATCCTCGACTAATACAGGATCGACGCGGTAATTTACATTCAATTATATACTCAATGATGATAACAATGCCCTTCCCGCCGAGTGTATGTGTGCAATAATACAGCTGTAGTAGCAGTTGCAGAGAGACTGATAAATGGAAGAAGACGAAGAGGAAAAAAAAGAGAGAGAAAAAAGAAGGGGGAAGAACGCAGCAATCGAGAAGTTAATCCTCGTAATTCTCGAAGCGGATAACAGGGCACGACAATCTGCTACTGGCAATACTGCAAGCTCTCGTGTACCTATGCACTCTCCAGTAGAGAGAGAGAGCCGATCGCCGTAATTAAACCATTAATGCTAATTCACGAGAGACCGACTCGGTGCGGGTTTTAGATGACAAAATGAGACGAGAGGAAAGTATAGTTTGAACCTTTGGAATTCGTAGATTGATGTATTGAATTGGAAAAATGGCCATAATTTTCCGGGATTTATAAATAGCATAGAGAAAATTGAAAATTGGTAAAATTTCAGGACGTTAGACGCTTTTATGCATAAAGAAAAACTTGTATCCTATTACCAAGTGATTTTCAATATATGCATTTTTTTATCCACCCTTATTTATTCTTGAATGATAGTCGTCTGAAAACACACGTTTTTGCGCGCGAAACTTGTGGAGTGAACTCAATTTTCACGTAGAGGCTCAATTTTCAAAGATAAACTCCGGAGCTTTCCAAAGCATACTCAGCATTCGCTGTTAACGTGTGTTTCTGCGCAGCGCTTAGTACGCGTATAATTAATCGAATTGTAAAAACGCTGTACAGAATATATCGTATTAACTTTAAGCCCCCGCGATGTAACGAAATTCGTTCTTTGAATTCCCAGGTAATACGAACTCGGGATAAAATTCATACGAGTTATCCTCTTAAGGTCCTCAAATTAATCAAGCTAGAGATTTTGCGCAATCTTTTATAACGTCGATGGGAGGGGGCCTGCTGCTAGAACGTGACACTCGTCTGCACTAAATTGCGATTAAATCCCTCTGTATGTACACGAAGAGAAAGATCATAATGGGTCGCATGCGCGCGACTAATTTCGAGGACGCAATTTTTTAATTTCTTTTTTACGAAAAAAAAACCTCCGTGTCGGCGTATCGCATAATTAATTCACAAAAGTATACAAGATCATTAAGGAGTTTATAAATTTTACGGAAAACTTCGCGTCGTAAATTATCCGCTGCTCGATTATACGCGCGCGCACGCACACAAGCTACATTATTGCGCACGCTAAGTGAGTTATTAACAAAGAGCATATAACATTTTCCACGCTCTTGTGTGTGTGTGTGTGTGTGTAAAATTTTCGTGAAAAAAATTCCGCGGCGTGTACATCGCTTACGCGATTATTAAGCAATTAATAAAATTTTCTACCAGCGGCTTGCCGTGTTTCCAAACACGTTTCCACCTGAGAGAGTATACGGTATAAGTTCTCGGAGCGCAGTTATTCAAGAGCCGCCGCTACTATACACGCGCGAGAACGGCTATATACGTATGTATCTACGTGCCCAGGCCAACTCTCGAGTCTCGGATCGTCTATTCCCCTACAACTTCTTATCTTAATTGACGATCTTAATTCGCAGAGGCCGGCAAAGCTCGCGCGAGCGCGTGTAACACATCCTCGTCGTCGTTCTCTATATAGCTTTTCTCTCTCTCTCTCTGTCCTTATAGTATAAAACTCTTGCGGCTATCGCACCCCGTATGGTCTCTCTAGGCGCACCGGTACGTAAAATAATATATATTAAGCTCGTTAATCGCACTCACACACTCCGTCTCTTGATATAAAAACACAAAATCGATGCTCGGTTTTTCGCGCGCAGCGGAACAACTTTGTTTCTTTTCTTTTTACGTTTACTTCTCGTGTACTCAGGGAAGCGCCAGCTTGAAATTTTCGTTGAAATTTACAGCGCCCCGCGTGCACGCGCGCCAGACGCGTAATTTACAGTTATAAGCGCGCGCACGGGTGCCCGGAGAGATGTATTTCAAAATTTAATTGAAAAGACGCTACCGCGCGCGCACTTCTCTAGCAGCGGGTGGTGTTGCTGCTGCTGCTTTCTTTCTCTCTCTCTCGCTCTCGCTCTCGCACGCGAGTGTGTATATAACGTGTAACCGAGCGAGTATCGTGCACCCTGCTGCAGATGCGGCGCGAGCGGAAAAACAAAGAAGATCTCTCGGCGCGAGAGAGAGAGAGCTACTGTGCTGTTACTCCTGTGCTGCTTTCAGCGAGCGGCGAGTATAAATCGCTCAAAATTTCTGCGCCTTGCCGTGGGTACAAGTCGAACGAAATAAAATAGTAAATTTGTCGAGCTGTTGCTGCTGCCGCAGTGACTCGAGCGACGCTGAGAATTGTACGTTGTACGTATAGATATATATAGGACAAGCTATACTGTGTCTAGCTGAGACACAAGATTTACATGTGAGATTTTCGCTTCCTCTACCTCGAGGCGTGCGCGATCGCGAGTATTTTGAAAATTGATAAATCACGCAAAAGTCTCCAAAAGATTTCGGAAAAATAGTTTTTACATGATCTCTAACTAAAATGCTCTTATAGCTAAAACTTTGTTTTTTCTCTTTTGGTTTCCAAAAAAACCGGCCACAAGCCATCTAGCGGGAACTAATGAAATACCGCGTATTTTCAAAACGCTTACTTTAAGTTATCAATACATGAAAGTTTGGTACTTCTAGATTTTTTTTTATTAATTCACACATTGGTCAAGTGAATTTGCCGCATATTAACTTAAGTAGTAGTAGTAGGAGTAAATGATGCAATTTTATGGTAAATATAATGTGAAAGGTCATTAAGGAATGAGTACTTGAAATTAAAAGTACTTGAAATTTACGAATACTTTTACAGTTTGCTGCAATTTTCTGTTGTATGAATTTTTCTCCGCATATATCACACGTTGTGTGCGTAAGGAAATTATGCGTCTGGATAAATGATACACTTATTACAATTTTGTGTATTTTCAAACGCGCGCGAGTGTCAAAGCAAATCGCAAATACATTACTTCGTGTGGCTAGTCGACGGTAGAGGGGGGAATCGCAATCACGAGGTCTCCTCGCTAATGCGCGAGTAGTGCGTATAACAGTCGCTAACAAGGATGCCTAAATTCCTCAGTGAGCGAGTGTTTACAAATTGGTGAGTGGCGCATACTGTGTTGGCTACTCGAGGCATATAACCTCAAAAAATTTTTCAGTGGTCGAATATATTTTCTCAAGGTACACAGTCGTTTCATACAATCAAACGAACAATAAAAAGCAGCGGGTGCATAGTTAGGTATAATTTTTTTTTGGGTATGCCATAATATTTTTTGAAGCCTAATCAAATTCAATTATTCTCCAGAATGAAGGAAGAGTCGAACCTTTCTTGGACAGATGCAGGTGACGATTATAATTTTAATTCGGTAGTCTCTAGCGAAATCCAAAATTTTCGAACGTTCCCAGATATTAAAACATCGGTGAGTATAACGAAAGTAAAAAACTATTTTGTTTTTAAATTATCAAAAATAATAACACGATTTTAATCATAGGCAAATTACGTGAATGTGGCAAAGCCATTTCACGATGAAAAAATATTCGTCGACTTTGAGTGCAAAGATGTTAAACCTGGACCAACATCTTTATCATCGGCGATCTGCAAATATGAGTATCAAAATTGTGGATCTATTGTGAAAAAAGAAAGCGAAAATAAAACCAATGGCATAAATGAAAAAATATTCGTAGATTTCGAATGCAGGGATGTGAAGTCTGAACCGAAGTCTCTATCGACAACCATCGACAAATCTGAGTCTCGAAAATTTCAACCTATAGTGAAGATAGAAAAAGAAGATCAGAGCAATGATAAAAATGAAAATATATTCATTGATTTCGAGTGCAAGGATGTCAAATCTGAAGTGAAACCATTATCAGAAATAACCTGCAAAACTGAGGATCAAAATTTACTACCAATTGTGAAAATTGAAAACCAACTGCAGACAAATTACTTAAAAGAAAAAGATTTCGTAATTTTACGAAAGAAAGAATTAAATTACGACAATGACCGTGAGATCCAAGAAAAATCCCGAATAAAAATGAACAAATCGGAGGAAACAAAGATAATTGAAAAAACAACTCAAATCAAATTATCTTTTGAGTGCCAAATGTGTCGAAAAACGTATAAGTCGCAAGTAAATCTGAGAAGACATATTAGCACGACACACATGGGGATTAGACCATATGAATGTGAGATTTGCCACAAATCATTTGGATACACACAAAACTTAAAAAGACACATAAATGTAGTACATAATCAAATCAAACCCTTCGAATGTGAGATTTGTCATAAATCATTTAGACAAAATCGATATCTCAGAAGACACTTGCATGATAGTAGAAAACGATTCGAGTGTGACATTTGTCTTAAATCATTTTCACTTAAAGGTAATCTAAATAAACACATACGTTTAGTCCATGGTCAGAGCAAACTTTTTGAATGTGACATTTGTCACAAGTCATTTGGAGAAAAAAGTACTCTCAAAAGTCACATAAATGCAGTACATGAGTGTAGAAAACATTTCGAGTGTGATATTTGTCATAAATCATTTTCACATAAAGGTAATCTAAATATACACATAAGTTCAGTCCATGATCAGAGCAAACCCTTTCAATGCGACTATTGTCACAAATCATTTGGATACAGGGGTGACGTCAAGCGTCACGTGAATGCAGTACATAATCAGAGCAAACCCTTCGAATGTGAGATTTGTCACAAATCATTTGTACGAAAAGATAATCTCAAAACACATTTAAATTCAATACACGATAATAAGAAACCCTTTGAATGTGAGATTTGTTACAAATCATTTGTACGAAAAGATAATCTCAAAACACATTTAAATTCAATACACGATAATAAGAAACCCTTTGAATGTGAGATTTGTTACAAATCATTTGGATACAAGGGTGACCTCAAAAAGCACATAACGATAGTACATGATGGTAGCAAACCCTTCGAATGTGAGATTTGTCACAAGTCCTTTGGATACAAGAGTCACCTCAAATATCACACAAATACAGTACATGAACGGAATAAACCCTTCGAATGTGAAATTTGTCTCCATAAGTTTGGATCCAAGGGTAACCTCAATGTTCATATCGATTCAGTACATGAACGGAATAAACCCTTCGAATGTGAAATTTGTCTCCATAAGTTTGGATCCAAGGGTAACCTCAATGTTCCTATCGATTCAGCACATGATCGGAGCAAACCATTCGAGTGTGAGATTTGTCACAAATCATTTGTACGAAAAGATAATCTCAAAATACATTTAAATTCAATACACGATAATAAGAAACCCTTTGAATGTGAGATTTGTTACAAATCATTTGGATACAAGGGTGACCTCAAAAAGCACATAACGATAGTACATGATGGTAGCAAACCCTTCGAATGTGAGATTTGTTACAAATCATTTGGATACAAGAGTCACCTCAAATATCACACAAATACAGTACATGAACGGAATAAACCCTTCGAATGTGAAATTTGTCTCCATAAGTTTGGATCCAAGGGTAACCTTAATGTTCATATCGATTCAGTACATGATCGGAGCAAACCATTCGAGTGTGAGATGTGTCAAAAATGTTTTGGATCTAACAGTTATCTCAAAAAGCACATTAGGGCAGTACATGATAGTAGAAAACTTTTTTAGTGTGTCATTTATCCAAAATCATTTGTATGCTAAAATGTACTTAATAGTCATTGTGTAATAGCTCGTAATCTTAGAAATACCTTTGAATGTGAGATTTGTCACAAATCTTTCGAGTACCAGTATAAATTAAAAACTCACATAATCACAGTGCATTATCATAGCAAACCCTAGAAGCGTGAGATTGGTACGGAAGAAATTTGGACGCTATGTACTTTTGAAACATTTATCATATGAATATTCTTTAATTTTATGAATAAAAATAAAATATATCAAAATGTAACTAATTTTGCCATGATTATGAAAACCTCTCACTTTTACGTTTCATCAACGAGTTTAAATATGAACGAAATTTCGTTTTTAATTTACTGTTTCAAGTATTGCATCTGAACCGAACTTTCAATATTTCAATTAGTTCAACCTTTGCTCAACAACACACACATATACATTGCACTCTCGTTCCCAGCTAACTTGTATTAAATTATACTACGCGAACGAGCCTTGAAACACACCTCGTAAGTACACGCGTATCCCGAGAGCAATAATCAGATGTCCGGGCTTGCGAACGCATAATTCGTACGCAATTGCGAGACCAGAGATAAATACGATAGAGAGAGAAACACACACGCGTACATACACGCGGAAGTGGAAAATAACGCGAAAGGAGTTATAACGAGCTCGTGCTGCTGCTGCTGCTGCGTAGTACTACTACCGGAGCACCACCGAGGAACGGCATAGAACTGATATTATAGCCATTTAGACCTCTCTCTCTCTCTCTGCAGTATTATACTCTCACTGTAGCCGCGCGACGAGCGGCAACTGCAAATTGCACGATCCTCGCTCCTTAAAAGCCCGGGCTATATAAGCATCACACCGCCGCGTGGAAATTTGGGGGCTGCTGCTGTTGCAGCTTCTTTAATACCCCCTCATGACCGCCCGTCCGGAATGGCCATTCGGATATATCTATACGTATATACCCCGCCATGTATATTTCTCGAAAACTTGCTGGCGGTGCGGGATAACGCGTCGTTTCACGCGCGCCGGCCACCACCACCACCACCGCCGCCACCGCCGTCTTTTCGGAAAACTACGCCAAGGAAAATTACTTTGCACCTTAGCAGCAGCAGCAGCCGCAAGCTAGCCCAAACATCTAGAAGCTCGAGAGAAAGAGAGAAGCAAAGGAGAGATCACATTTTTGGGGGCAGATTACGCTTAAGCTGGTTTTATATATTATATGTAGCACAGGACTCGCTTGTATATTAACCTGCGTTATAAATATGTGCCAAGGATTTGTACGTAATACGTAAATAAGGGGGGCACAGCTTCCGCACAGATACGCGTGCACACGCGAGGCGCAATGTATCCTACGGTCAACGTATATAATATTTCATCTCTCTTTTTTTTTTCGTTACTCTCTTTGCCGTACCTCTCACCCGAGCGATATAAATAATTGCCGTTAGGCTCGATCGCGTGTACTCTCTGGATAATCACGCGTTTAAACAAATACTCGGTCAATATTTGGCCGGCGATATAATATATATGATACATACATAAAAGCGGCTGCTTTTTGCGGAACGATCAAAAAGTTAAAGCTTTTATAAATAAACACACACACACGCACGCGCGCATTTAAAACCTGTATCATCTGTCAAGCGCACGCGGTAAGCTCGCAATGCCGCGCGCGCGCGCGCAGAAGGGCGTTTTGGTGGTGGCGTTTTAAATCGGGTATTATATAGTACGTAAAGGATACAAAAGGATCGCGCGGAATCACGCGACGCGAAAAATCTGAGTTAAAATCGCGTAAACAAGCTTGCAGTCCTCGCGTCCGACGCTCATCAGCGTGGCTGCTGCATACATGCAAAAAAGAGTGAGTTTTCGGCATCGCTGGGCATTCGTGTAGCGCGCAGAGCTTAACGTACAATGATAAACATACGTATACAACGCACAGATGTATATATTTATAACCGAATTGTGTGTGTGCTTGCCTCTGTCTGCGGCGTGGCCGAGGCTTAATAATCAACGGTTATTCGGAAAGAGAAAGAGACATGTGCTACTGCTGATGCATATAGGATAGACAACCCACGCCAGAATGATATAATTCAACGCAGGGACTCTGTTCTCGTATATAGTAGTAAAACATCGAATGAATTTACAATTCGTAGCAGCAGCAGCAGCAGCAGCAGTTGCAGTTGCAGTTAGTGCGCTACGCTTCGAATAATTAACTCCCGTGTCTATATATGGGCTATTCCACAACAGGTGTTGCAGGCCCAAAAAATGAAGGTGAAAGTAACCATTTACTCTTCAAGAACACAATGAAAAATGAAAATTCTGAAGGGCACAGCCCCCTAGGTCCAACCCTTATGGATCTACAGGGGCTCAAAGTTGGATTTTCATGGTATGAGGATATTCTGCTTCTTACTCTGCTTTTCTATGGGGACATAAGAAAAAATTTTTAAAACATGTTTTTTCATGTAAAATTTGATGTAGAATTCAAATCTATACTCAGATGAGACATTAATAACCTCAAAACCCCTTGAAATAGAAAGTATGGTGTAATAGGACATAAATGTCAAAAAAAAAAATATGTTCGTATACCTCAAATCAGCCCATATTGTAATATGTTCATCGATACACCAAAATACAACTTCTGATAAAGTTTGGTAACTGAGTCTCCATTACAGATCATTATGTAGCTTTTGAAAGCCCAAAAAACATGGTTTTTTCCTCATTTTCCATGTTTTTTGCCTCTTCGCTAGCTACCAAATTGTCTGTAATGGAGACTCAGTTACCAAACTTTATCAGAAGTTGTATTTTGGTGTATCGATGAACATATTACAATATGGGCTGATTTGAGGTATACGAACATATTTTTTTTTTGACATTTATGTCCTATTACACCATACTTTCTATTTCAAGGGGTTTTGAGGTTATTAATGTCTCATCTGAGTACAGATTTGAATTCTACATCAAATTTTACATGAAAAAACATGGTTTAAAAATTTTTTCTTATGTCCCCCCAGAAAAGCAGAGTAAGAAGCAGAATATCCTCATACCATGAAAATCCAACTTTGAGCCCCTGTAGATCCATAAGGGTTGGACCTAGGGGGCTGTGCCCTTCAGGATTTTCATTTTTCATTGTGTTCTTGAAGAGTAAATGGTTACTTTCAACTTCATTTTTTGGGCTTGCAACACCTGTTGTGGAATAGCCCATATATACAATACCTGGGCTCTCTTTGCGCGCCAATCTTATTCACGAACTGTGCCGCGCCGTGCACGCGAACAAGCGGCCGAAATTTTGGGGTATAGGGTCTCCATTGTAATACATAAATCGGAAATACGATTGCGAAATAATAATTGATTTTGCCCTGTGCCACGCGGCTCTTGAAAATTGCTTTCATAAGTTTGTGTGCGCATACGGCGGCGCGGCGCGGCAACATTGATGTAATTATAAATATACACTTCGAAACTCATCAAATATACATTTTCCTCTTTACGCAAAGTTGGCAAAGAATATTTACATCGTGTATAGCTGCTGCTGCTGCTGCTCTTTGACAAAACAAAAACGTGTACATAAAAAAAAAGCATCTGCTAGGCGCGTTATATATTAATATTCCAGTCGGATTTTAAGCTTTTGAGTGGAGCGAGAGAAAAAAAAATAGCAACGCACTGACGACGACGAGTGGCGCTTCATGAGTTTTGAAAAATTTCCGTTCAAAAGTTGCGCGCGCGCGTTTCCCGGGTGCATATACATTCTCGATATGTATACACATTGCTCCGCAGCGGCCGCGATCAATATTCATGTGGCGCGCGCGCGCGCGGCTTGAAACTTTAGCGAAACATTAATTGTGTATACACGAGGATTTTGCCGCTGGTACACACGCACACACATACACACTCCTGTTTATAATGTCGTGGAACACCATAATGCAACAAAAGTGCAATCCACCGAAAACGCATTAACCGCGCGCGCCCGCGATCGAAACCCTAAACTTTTCGAAAAATCGATCGCTCATCCTCAATAATATAATAACAACAACGTTTCCTCCTCTTATCTGTTATAGGAAGAGTCGAGACTCGATTTTCCCGAAGCCAAGGCTAGACGCAACGACGAGCGGCTTTGTTTCGAGTATATGTGCGCTCGCTCGCTTGCACACATCGTCGCTAGCTAGAGTTTGCCGAGCAATTAGATCCTCGGTATCCGCGAGCGAGCGAGTTCGCGTCTTTCTGTGTATCTTTAAACTCGATTCTCGTGCGGGAGTGTATATAGCAGCGCTCACGTGCGACGCGCGACTGATGAATGCAAAATCGTCTTGTGTGTGTGTGTATATGCATCGTCTGTTTTACCTATATATACAATATTATATATATACCGCATGCGCGACGTTTGTTATGCGGGTGATGCGGCAGCAGCAGCATCAGCAAAAGCAGCTATACTGCGATGGGCAAAAGAGCGTAATTGCTTATCCAGAGGAGGAACACAACTAATGTTTGTTTTCTGCTCCCGCTGATGCCGCCGCTGCTGCTATACACGGGCCGACGAGCAGCAGGCCAGGCACAGCGTTATGCATTCGCCGAGGTAATGGAATTTCATAAAGTGCTCGTTGAAGCTTTTAGCGCGCGCGCAGCTCGCAGTGCGTCTATATTTTTTTTCTCCTCTCTTTTTTGAAAACTCTGCGCTGCGCTCACCTTGAGAGTTGTTGTTGATGTTTGAAAATCAGCTTTTCCGCACACGCGCGCGTGTGTGTGTATAACTCGTCTGCCGTTGTTGCTGCCTCGTGCGCGCAATTTAAAAGTTAATTTACAAAATGCGTGCACGCGAGAGACAATAAGTTGCAATTTGTATTTCGATATCTCGTATATATAACTTTTATGTTTGAACACGCAGTTGATGAAAGCGTCGAGTGCGTAATTCTTCGATATGATACGCGGGATGAAACTCGTATGAAATCCCTTTTAACGAGGCTCACGCACGCACGTGCGTATACATATAAAACTCGGTTTCTTCGCTCTCTAAGAATCCACGTCGTGATGATACGCGCGTGTGTGTGGAGAAAATCCCATTAAAGCTACATTGGTTGGAAGATAAACCCGAGGAGGTGGTGTAGTAGTAGTCGTAGTAGTGGTAGGGCTATCAACGCTACGGCGCGAGCGGGAAGATAAGCTCCAC